CGCATTCTGCAAATCGTTCCTCAGCGCCCTAGACGCCCGCCCACCCAAGCTGTCCAGCGATCACATTGCAGACGCACGCCAATATCCCGCACAAGGCGCAGTAAGTCCTCGCCGCCCATCCTCTACATATTCCATATCCATACGCGCAATTATTAGAAACTGACTACCCCACCAGTACACCCTCCCCCGCCTCCCACACCCACCCCACCCGCAACGACCGAACCCCAAACCCACCACCAGCGACGATGCCTCCACACCCTCTTCCTCGTCAATCTCGGTGACGCTCAAACCCATGAAGCCAACCACACCCACCATCCCACTCAGCTCAATCGACCCATCGAAAACCTCCGTCTACGACCTCAAACAACAGTACGCGACGCAAGCCTCGTTATCAGCAGCCAAGATAAAGATTCTGTATAAGAAGAAGCCTGTCACAGATTCAAAGACACTATTGGAAGTTATAGGCACGGATGCGGGTAGTGAAGTTGAGTTTGGGGTTATGGTCATGGCTGGGGCTGCTCTGGGTGGGGCTGCAAGTCTGGCGTCGGCAGGGACACCGGTGACGAGTCCGCCTGCTGTCGCGCCGCCGACGGAGAGCGAGAAGGGACTTGCTAGCGCTGGGGAGACAGCTGCGGGTACAGCGACTGGTGCTGCAGATGCGCCACTTGGGCACGGGAAGGAAGTCGTTGCGACAGACGAGTTCTGGGGCGATCTTAAGAACTTTGTTCTCCAGAGGACCAAGGACGCGGACGAGAGCGAAAGGTTACTGGGCGTATTCAGAGGAGCGTGGGAACAGAACAAGTAGTGATCTGGCATAGCTGCTGGGGTCAAACAATTGCACTCGCAGATACCCGGAAATAATACCACAAGAATCAACGCACAGGTCACATCATGCAGGCTTCCAACACAGAGAGCTGTCCATCGACGACAATTTGACCAGTTTAGCCTATCAAAAGCATACCAAGCCTGATAATGCAAGTTACACCCAGCACTATCACTGCCCACATATCGCATGTTTCGTCTGTAATCATCATGCGCAAAAGCTCGCTATGCCATGACCGCTGCCAATCAACCGCTCGAATCGTTTTCATTTCATATCATTACCAACCGCAGTCGTTTCTTCCTCCATACTAACAGGTGCGCGAAATCGACAGGTCGGAAGGGAAGGTGGGGGAGGAGGCGCTTAGCGGCCCTTGGAGACACGGCTCTTGATGCTCTCGAACTCGATGTCGTCGGCATCGTTGGCTTGGATATCGGCGGCGAGACCGTTGAGGGCGCGCTTGATGGCTTCCTTGGAGGATGAGTACATCATGCGGGGCTGTCACTCGTTAGTCAATCTTTCCCAAACAATCCTCTTCCCGCTGTTGTGACGTACGTATTGCGCCGCATCATCTGGCGTCCAGCTGATAAAAGTGATCTTGCTCCTGGAGCCCTCTCCGCTTTCGAGCTCGTACTCGACGTCGAACACGGCGTAGCGACCGCCAATGCCCTCCTTGCCCTTGCGGTCCTTGCTCTTGGCGTTGAGCAGCTTCTCGCGGAAGACGTCAAAGTTGGCCTCCTTGGAAGTCTCCTCGACGACAATCTCTTTCCAGTCGTCGCTGATCTTGTAGATAATCCATTTGATGTCCTTGCCAAGCTTGAGCTCGTTGAAGGTGCTGATGCACTCGGGCGAGACGGAGACACTGCGTCGTGGTTAGTACGTGCGGGGGCGATAGAAGGGTGCGCGAGACGGGTGTCGAGGTGGTGGTGGAGGCAGGGGGAGCTATGCGGGCGCGGTCGTCGGGCAGCGACAGCTGTTGATGCCCTGTTGTTTGTTTTGCAGTACGTACCCGGATTGAGCCTGTATCCGTGGTTAGTTCGAGTCCCCTAATAACGCATCTCAAAGATTCTCACCATAATGTCGGATGTGTAAAGTAGAGGATGCTAGAGGGGGGTCGAGGCGCCAGGTAGCTTTATCAGTACTGTGGTTGCCTGTCAGCGTCGTCGTCATCGTTGCGATTGCCGCGTGCGAAGATGCAGCAGTGAAGGAATGGCAGCCTGTTCGGCCATGGAGCGGTGGCAGCTTACGTCAATAGAGAAAACTGATCTGGGTGGATAGTTGATGTGTTTGCGGGAGAAAAGGCGGAGGAGGAGAGTGTGATTGCTGAGGCTGAGCGAGTAGTGGCAGGTGGGGTGGGGTTTTCTCGATGCACGTACCCTAGTGGGGTTCTTTCAAGCCCTGGAGCACGGCACGATACCAGACACGTTACAAGGTTTAGTTTGGCTCTGCCGCCACAGCAACGCCCTGTCAGTCGTCACAGCATCCCACCTCATACAAGGAACAGGCTGAACAGGTATTCTGCTGTGTATGTTAGTATAAGGGTTAGCGTTCACATATTCTTCAAGGTAACGCAGACTTCTAGGAGGCAGGTGTTCAGTTTTTCCCATGTAAGAGGTGATCCACCAATCCTATTCCTTGCAGCATTCATAACTCAAGCATATGTTGTGCATCTCAAAAACTCGTTTGAACTTGTTCATATTTCCTTCGTCACTTTATACATCTTGTCCTTCCCAGGAGATCCTTACACAATATTGTACAATAAAAACCAAATATCCAACAATGCTGCGCTTTTGAGAAATCATGAGTGAAGAGCGGAGACCAACCCAATATCGTGTACATAAATCATCGCTGGGAAAGGCATAAGACTAAAGTCATTATAACGGAATGGGGGTATAAGAAGAAGAAAACAGACGGCTAGACTTCACTTGTTTAGAAGCCCATTCCGCCCATGCCTCCCATACCACCCATACCGCCAGGCATGCCGCCTGGAGGTCCAGACTTCTCCTCGGGTGCCTCGACAATAGCGACCTCGGTAGTTCCGAGAAGCGAGGCAACACCGCTAGCGTCAACGAGAGCAGTGCGGACAACCTTGAAGGGGTCAAGGATACCGGCAGCGATCATGTCGACGTACTCGCCCTTGGCGCTGTTGAAACCCTTGTTGAAGTCACCCTTGTACTCGTCGATGAGCTTGCCAACGATGACGGAGCCCTCGGCGCCAGCGTTCTCGACGATCTTGCGGGCGGGGTGGGTGATGGCGTTCTTGACAATGGTGATACCGAGCTGCTGGTCGAAGTTGGCAGCCTTGACGTTACCGAGGGCGTTGGCGGAGGCCTTGAGGAGACCAGTACCACCACCGGGCAGGATACCCTCCTCAACGGCGGCACGGGTAGCGTTCAAAGCATCGACGATGCGGTCCTTCTTCTCACCGACCTCAACCTCGGAGGAGCCACCGACCTTGATGACGGCAACACCACCAGAGAGCTTGGCCAGACGCTCCTGGAGCTTCTCCTTCTCGTACTCGGAAGTGGTAGCGTCGTTGATGACGCCACGGATCTGCTCACAGCGCTGGGAGACCTGGTCCTTGCTGCCCTCGCCGTTAAGGATGACGGTGTCCTCCTTGGTGATGGTGATGGATCCGGTAGAACCGAGCATGTCGGGAGTGGCCTTCTCGAGCTTGATGTCGAGGTCGTCGGTGAAGACAGTACCGTTTGTCAGGACAGCGAGATCGCCAAGGATGGACTTGCGGTTGTCACCGAAGCCGGGAGCCTTGACGGCAGCAACCTGGAGCTGACCACGGAGCTTGTTGAGAATGCAGACGGCAAGCGCCTCGCCGTCAATGTCCTCAGCAATGATGACAAGCGGACGGCGGAGCTGCTGAGAGGCCTCGAGAGCGGGGACGATATCCTGGACGGCGGAGATCTTCTTCTCAGAGAGGAGGATGAGAGGCTTCTCGAACTCGACCTTGGCGGTCTTGGTGTCGGTGATGAAGTAGGGGGAGATGTATCCGCGGTCGAACTTCATACCCTCGGTAACCTCAAGCTCGTCCTCGGTGGTCTTGCCCTCCTTGACGGTGATGACACCCTCCTTTCCGACCTTCTCCATGGCGTTGGACAGGAGCTTGCCAATGTGTGTGTCGCCGTTGGCAGAGATGGTGGCAACCTGCGCAATCTCCTCGCTGGTGGTGATGTCCCGCTTGTTCGCCCTGAGGTACTCGACGACGGCCTCGACAGCGGCCTGAGTACCCCGCCTCAGGTCCATGGGGTTGCATCCGGCGGCAACGTTCTTAACGGTCTCGGAGAAGATGGCGCGGGCAAGGACAGTGGCAGTGGTGGTACCGTCACCGGCAGCCTCGTTGGTCTTGGAGGCGACGTCCTGGAGCAGGCGGGCTCCGAGGTTCTCGAACTTGTCTTGGAGGGAAATAGCCTTTGCGACTGTTACACCATCTGGAATGATGTCAGCGGGCAATGTTAGAGACGGCGGCGGAACTCGTGCATACCCTTGGTAATCTTGGGGGAGCCGTAGCTCGACTCAATCAATACATTGCGACCCTTGGGACCCAGTGTTGTTGATACGGCCTTTGCAAGTGTGTCGACACCCTTCAGCAGTCCTGCTCGTGCCTCGACGCCGAACTTCAGTTCCTACCAATCGTTAGTTTTGCGTGTTTTTTACGACGTAAATATATGATTGCCGTACCTTGTGCGCAAACCTCTGCTGCTGGAGGTTGTAGCTGGTGGACCGGAGCTTAGAGCTCGAGTTGAGGGCCGAAGTCCGCGCCCGCGATGCGAAAGCTCTTTGCATTGTGACGGAATTGGGATGTGTAGGTAGAGGAAAAGGAATCTCAAATGTTGCTCCTAGACTCCAGCTTTATGCAAGATAACCAGGAATAGTGTGGATGTAGAGGAGGATGCGGAGAAGAGTGGTCGCAGATGTTCGATGCCTCTAAAAATTTGGGTCGCTCGACGATTGGAATCATCGAGAAGGCGCTATGACCACATCCGCGAGCTAGCCTCGGCTTTCGATCCATAACTCCATCGCCAGCCTCACGTTTCACGTTTGTCAGCGCCTGAGATTTCTGCTGGAGCGCAGATACACGAAGGTTTTGCGTGGAACTCAATTATCGGGGATGAGCGTTGTGTGCATTGACCCTACTACAACCGATCCCTCTGGGTTAGCTAGGTGCCTACGCCTTCTGGCTGACCATCAACATATCACCATCGATGCGCTTGAGGCCAACACCGAACATCGAAAATATTTCCCGCCGCTCGGCACTAAGGCTCACCGCCCCATGCACCTTCTGGACCACCTCGATACATCGCCAAACGTGCAGGTGCTCTTCGTCAAGCTGCCAGAGTGTTCCCCTCGGTCCACTGCTCAACTCTTTCAGCATCTTCGTATCCCTAGCCTGCTCAATTTCCGTCTTCGCTCTCGGCGCTTCATCTTCAAGCGCTCTCTCTTTTGCAGCCTTCACCTCTTTTTTGCTCTTCCCTATCTTCGATATTGGTAAAGTAAGGCCTTTTTCCGCGTAGGCGGCCGTGGCTTGGGCCTTCACCGGGCCCTTCCAGAACTCGACTTGAGGGCTGTTGTTTTCGTGTATCAAGTGGTAGTATATTGGCTCCTCACTCTCGTCGCTCAACAAGTGTAGAGGCTTGGATATCGATATATTAGCAGGAGGCCAGCGTGTGTCGCCGTATGGGCACTGGTTCTTCTGTTCTGCCGTCAAGGTCTTCTGACTTGCAATATCGCCGTTGCCCCCTCCGCCAGTACCAAATACTGGAGGCGCAAGTCGAGTTGGATCCATATGTTGTGGGGCTTGCGCAGGTGTAGGTGTGAACGCTGGCTTAGGCGCAGGTAATTATCGTCTTCGTAAACGGTCCTCGCGAAGTGTTGTGTTTTGCGGCCTGGTAGCTGAATACTTTGCGTTCGCTGTTACACATGCTGTCTTCACAGCTGCACGACCGTCACGCCGGCGCGTGTGCTACAAGGAGGAATGGCATTTCACAGATGTGAATTGCCCTACCATGTAGGAACGTAGACCGAGGCGTCTTCGAGCAGCGCGCTGCTGATCACACGATGCGGCTCTGCCCGAGCATTGAGATCTCGAACTATCATTTGCGAAGCATCACATTCGAGGGAAAAGCTCAACACCGCGAAGCCTGTCTCGACGCTAGGTCTTCTTGTTTGCTTAATTTTGTTCTAGTTTAGGCTGCAGGCCTATTCAGTTTCATCATTATATAAAGTGGAAGAGCACGTATGCAGCATGACGCACATGCATATATAGTGGCTGAAGCCGCTAGCCAATGATATACTCGTGCGACACATACAAAGGAAGCAAAAGCAAGCGAGCTGTGCTGCTCGACCCGAAAATTTCGGGTGTGTAGCTGCCTAGCCGTATTGCATCTCGTAGATAAATCTACATACATCTGCTTTTGAGCGAACTCGGCCTTTTGAATTCATTTGGGTATACCCTAGGAACTGCGGGGTCGTCACACCGAATTGGGCATCAAGATAGGTCTTGCATTCCAGCTGCGGTTCTTGACAAGTCGGCAAATCGTAGGGCTTTACGTGTCGACAGCCTCCTGCGCCTGATCCTAAATAAGTAGCGCAACAGACCTATCGCGTCAACAGTCAGCCTGCCGTCTAATTTCAGATGATGTGATTCACACTGCGGGAATTGCATCTTCACCGTGCCGGCGTCCATCATACATCATCTGCTGGAATGCCGCGCTACACCCGACCGGCCGACCCAGCACTGGAACGAGCGCGTCAAGCTCAGCGCAGACCGGCTTTTCCATCTGAAAGGCAGAGCAATCGTGTTCAGGACACATATTCTGCATATGACGACTTTCCATGGGCGGAGATTGAAGAGTATTTGAGAGGCAAATGGCCCAGGTGGAATTTCAAGCCATACAGGGTGTGTCACGTTCATTTCTGACGTAATACGATGCTGATTAGGCATGCAGGTCAACGATAAGTGGCTTTTTGAAGTACCCACGAGGCTGACGGAAGTGAGTAACTGGTTTTCTTCCCTTTGTGTGCTCGTGGACGTGGCTGAGGTGATATAGGAAGATCGCAGGGAGCTGAGGAACAGGAGAGATGCGCCTAAGCCCGCGAAGCTCGAGCGGCGTCACTCGATCTCGCCAGAACCAGAGGACGTACAAAACTCAGCCTCATAATTGATACCTAGGTAATAAAAGCGAGGCTATACATGCTAGCTTCGCATCAATCGGTGTCTGATGCTTGGTCCGCGTACCGTATTCTGTTTCCGGTGAGGGCTCCCAGCCCTGGAGTAGAAGAGGGGATCCCTGACGTAAGGCTTCGCACCTACCAAACCACCTGTCAGCCGCGACATATCAGGCACTGTCATCCTTTTGCGGTATTCTTGTTTTCATCTCCAGATCGATAAATGTATCCTCGTTCCTGCGTTCACCCTTACTAAGCGATACTCTTTCGATCTATGATACCCAGGTAATCTGAAGCTCCGAGATGGCATGTCAGATACCCGTAGAGCTGCAGGTATCTTACCTCAACAGTAACGACTATCCAAAAAACCTCATCCCTAGCGATCTTCTCTCAAACAGCCTAAAGCTTTGCTTCTACAAACAGCATCTTGATCAAGTTGAGAATGACCTTTGTCTCATGGGTCACCAGGTTGACATACTTTTCGAGATTCCGGTGATTGACATCGGCACGGCTGATGGGAAAAGTAAGAAATATTACAGTAAAGCGATACTGGGGCGAGCATTAATTTTCACAGAACGAGAAAAGTTGTACGTCCATACACCAGCTAAACTTAGCAAGTGGCTGGCTGTAGATATCGAGCAAGACGCCACCGACCCCAACGTACAGTATGTTGTCGCTCGAAAGAGAGATCCAAGATGCCGGTTCATGTAAGATACCCCAATCCCTCCATACGTTAATAATGCTAATGGTTCAGTTACCTCCATGGTCAGAATTCGCGAGCCCAGCTGAACACTACCCGAGACAGTCTTTGTCGCATCCTGTCCTATCATCAGATCATGCCCTCCTACCTGGACTTTATGTTGGGTTTCGGCGGACGAAGCGATTCAAAAGACCCTCACTCCAGTGGTTTTCGTGAGCAAATACATCTCAAAGATTCTGCGAACGGACATTCAGCACCTGAGTTGGGCCGAAGCGGCAAGCATTTTCAACTCTGCTACAATATGAGGGGTGTACAACGGAAAAGCCAGAGTTGCATAGACATTAAGCTTGATGAATGGTCGATTCAAGACGCTGCAGTTTACCACCGGTTTGACGTCGAGTATGGAACGACCCTGTGGGTTGTGACTAAGGGCGGTAAGGACTTGCGCGATCATTACGAAGAACTCACCAGACCAGCTGGTCGGCCACACAATAAGATGTATGGCGACACGATCTCCTGTTTTCATGCAACGCTGTTGACGCATCTTCTTTACTGTCAGTGGTCCACAGAGGATTGGAGGTGGTACATCATCTGGCTCGAGAAAGTAGTCGAGCAAGAAGTAAGTGCGCTCGTTCATTTATATGTTAACGCTAATTTGGGGTGCTACAGTATCGAATAGCTGTTGATGGAATTCACAAGCCAGGTCATGCATACAGACGATACGATTCCTGGACTATCCAAGACCTACACTATTGGCAAGACAAAGTGAGCGAAGCAGCAATGGTACTGGAAGGTAATTCGAAGAACCTGAGAAACCTACGCAAATTTTACTTGAACGTGGTCGCTCTCAAGGACTTCCCTTTCTCGTTGAGAAGGTCGTGCGAGGATCAATTGTCTGCCTTCATCTCGCAGCTCGATGATATTACTATGGAGTTTGAGATACAATTTGCTCGAGCCAAGTCTCTGGTGGACAGCATCAGCGACAGAAAGCAGCTAGTATCGCAGCATATCCAAATCCAGTTCTCGGACAGAACGGAACAGATGAACATGAATCTCCAAAGAGATACGGTCGTCATGCGTATCATCACGATCTTGACTCTGATCTACCTTCCGGCTACATTTGTCTCAGTAAGTTCGGAATCCTTGTCATGACTGCTGTCTCTTATCAACATTAGACCTTCTTCAGCACCGACATAGTGAAGTATCAGGACCAGAACCAAAATTCGTTCAATTTCGAAAACGGCTCGTTCTCTAACCTCGCCATGAAGCGGTGGCTTCAGGTCACGATACCACTCACTGCTCTGACACTATCTGGAGCATGGTTGGCATTTCACCTTTACGGCGCATCGGAAAGAGAGGTGACACTTATTGAGCGCATGAAGCGCGCAATGTTGTGTACGGCTCCCCCATCCTCAGAAGCAGATCCCTATGTGCAAATGTCACCAAACGATAGCCCTGATACAGCAAACGTGACCATTGAGGGCCCAGCAAAGGGACTGAAAGCATCGATATCCCGCTTTGCAATGAATGTACCGGGATTCGGAAAACGCCGAACTACCCTTCCTCGATATGCAGGCGATGAACGCAAGCCTGGTTGACGGGTGTCCGTGCGAGGCTCGAGGTAAGATCGCCATGAGGACTTTCAATATTCCAGTATGTGGCGGCCCTCGACGCAAGCCTACGATTTATGAACGTGGGCCATTCATCATAGTTTGGCGCGTAATGTGTCAGGTTGCAGTGTCAGGAGCTGACACTCAGTTGCGGCGGGTAGCCGCCTTCGAGGTACACACCTACGGAAAGTGGGTCGGTGGGGCTTAGCGAACTGCCCAGGTGGCGTTTGTCACTCTGTAGACTTCCTTTCAACACCAAGATTTTTCATTCTCGATCTCGCATACATACTATCGGGACTTTTCCAAGCCATCGCGTATCGCAATGTGACCCTCGATATGTACCGCTCATTAGTCGATGCATGGCCAATGCAATGATGGGCGAGCAGCTGAGCTCGAATTCAGCCTTGTGCTGCGGCCACATTTGTTCTCCATGCATCTATTGGTGCGACCTCAGCATAGCCCCTGTCCCAGGCTGCACAAGGTTGAAAATCACTAATCATGGTTAATATGTGCCCGCTCGCGCTACTGAGGCTCTGCCACCCCAACTTGCTGCTTGTTTTCTCGTCTCGTCATTCCCCTTCTTGACTTCAATGTGCGCATGCCTTGCTCGATCTACCTTAGCTCCACTTCAAATATCTTTGGACACGAAAACGATACCATCTGCCGCTGGTTTGGCCCTTCTACCATGCTTATTTTGTCGTAAGGTCTTCAAAGCCTGATGCTCACGTCACAATGTCAGGCGCATACCAGCAAGAGCCTTGGTCCCTACCTTTTAGAGATGAATTTGAGGTTCTGTTGGAGTCACAATGGACGCGTCGCGTCGCGTGTCAGAACGAATGCGGCTCTAATGAGTCTTGCAGCTGCAAGCGCAAGATTGTGCACGTTCACGCCCTGCAAGCATGGTGGAACAGGAAAGCCTCCGAAGGCCGCAGCCTTACGAAGTTGGAATGTTTTTTGCGCGAAATGCCACCCGTCGTCAGCCCTGCTTCAGCAAAGTCCGAATCCGAGTCTGGTACCGTTGTAGACACAAGTGCACAACAAGACTTCTGTGCACCACCTTCCCACACCTGGTCTTGTTTCATTCGATCGTCACGCATTCTTCTGCCTCATGGACGCTTACCGTTCAAGCCTACCAGGATATCCGAAGTCGGACAATCTTGCCTTCAGATACTCAGCCTGCTCCTCAAACGAAGGCACGATCACCCCATCGACCGTTTCTACGAAGCGGACATCTCTGATGACGCCACTACGTATAGCGAAAACGATCAGACCCTTCTCAAACAGATGGCCACCATGAAAAGTCACGACAAAACCAACATGTCTGATGACGTCCCTTTACATAGCAAAGACGATCAGGCCCTTCGCGAACGGCTGGCTACCGTTGTAGGTAGTGACGAAGTAAAGACTATCATCAGGGCTTTCCACGAGGAGAAGTGGGCGTATTGTCCATTGTCTTTGACACTGGACATGGACATGGATTTATCCGGCACGAAAATCATCCCTCCCTATTGTTGGAAGACAAGGCTTCTCGAGAAGGGGGGGACTGCGTCGATATACTGGGTGGCTGTGCAAAAGGATCTTGTTTCGGATGAGGCGCTTACAATTGCACTACAAGACTCATGTTACATGGACGAGCATTTTGGAGAGGTAAAACTTATGAAAACATGCTCTTAGATTGATCTGACCTTCTCAAGTGTTACCAAATGGCGCTCAAGTCCTACCATGGTAACAAAAGACAGTGTTTCGAGACCGAAAAGAAGGCATTCTCTATGTTAAGCACGAGCGATAAAGTGCCCATACTGAAGTGTCTAGGTTCATATACTCACGACTATCATGATGGAAAAGAGCGGGAGGGTACTTACAATCTCTTGTTGGAATATGGCGAGAGAGACTTGTACCAAGCATGGGCGGACGAGACCAACGTTCCACCAGTACAAGCACAGGAGATACTACGAAACTGGAAATCACTCTTCGAAGTTGCTGAAGCCATCCGCCATGTTCATTACCTTGAACCCGGAATTCGGGGGTTTGTATCCCTGACACCCTACGAACTTCAGTACTGACCTGGAAAAGGTTACACGCAGATATCAAGCCCGACAACATTCTCAGCGTTCGTGGACGGCTGAAGCTGGCAGATTTCGGCTTTTCCAGTTTTGAGACTGGTATCGAAGGGCATGACGGCTCTGAAACGACAACCTCAATAAGGGGGTGTACTGACACGTATGGTAAGTCTTCGTGATGCCAAAAGACTTCAGAATGTTGCTAACTCTCCGTGGGTGCACCTGAAGTGTCTCGAATGAAACAGCCAGACGGCACCTCGACCGGAGTTTCGCAGTCTATTGACGCCTGGTCATTTGGTTGTGTACTGTCAGTCGCCGCGACATGGACAGTCCTGGGGTTTCAGGGTATACGTCAATATGAACGGCTTCGACAGCTATCCCCAACTAACAGCCAAGACGGCCTGAATTTAGATCGGTTCCACGACGGCTTTCATGTTCTACCAGAGGTAGGAAAATGGCACGACTATCTTCGTGGACATCTCCGTCATTCAGATACGACGACGGAGCTCGTTCTGACTTTGATCGAGGATAAGCTGCTACGCGCAGAGCCGGCAGCAAGAAGCAACCTAGAGGAGCTCTGCGGGAAGCTGCAAGATTTGAGCGAGTTTGCAGAACGAAAGATCCAAAGCCTCGAGAAATTTTCCAGGGATGTGGATCCTGTACTCATGGCGGCCTTATCGAGCATTGAAGAAGAAGCTCAAATCCAGAGATCGACAGGATCAAAGCTTAATCTCTCACAACAATCATGGTATCAGCTCAACCCTCGGGCACAACTCTCCATGCGGATGAACAAGGAAGAGATGATCCAAAATCAATCGTTTGGTCAAACGGCCCATCGAAAGCAAATTCTGGAGGAGAAGCTTAAAGACTTTTACGACAAACAGGTAAACAACGGGCCGCAGACCGTACAAGCTGTGCATAACAGCGCTGTCACACAGAGTTTGGTTGATTAGACAATTCCAAAAGGACTACACTTTGGTCGCTGCGACGTCAAGCAAAGAGTCCGTAGCTTCAAGCCAATGATCAAAGACAACTAGACACAGATACTCACCCACCGAACGGCGCACGTCCACCTTTGGAAAGGAATCATCCTACAACACCACCATCATCGTCCAAGCGCCGTAAAGAAAAGTCTCGGGCAGTAGTACTACACTTCACGACGATGAAGCCTTGAAAATACAGCCACATGGCAATTCATTCGGGATCGTCTCGCCTGGTAGCGTCATTAGAGGGTCGTTTGAACACACATGATACAATACCTTTTCCGCCTGTTTTGGTGCGCGTCCGTTTTTTTCTAGATGAGAGACATAACCAAACTTCTTCGTCTGTCGGCGTGATGAGAATGGGTTCGTGTGTAAGATCGATTGTCCGACCAGCCACCGAGGAGACTCCGTGTCGACTTAGTGCCGGCTCATGACGAGATGGTGCACAAGCAAGAAAGGAAGTGCTTGAAAGTGTGCCGTCGAACTTATGTATCTACACAATGATCATACATACAAAGGATACAATACCGCCAACATCGAGCGAAGACCTCAACGATGCACATATCTAAAGCCGATCCTCTTCCTCAGCGCCGCACGCTCCGACAGCTGCTCCGCAACAAAGCGCACACTAGGCTTCTCGATCTTCCTAGCGCCCTCCCTCAGGTATCTGCTGTGTCTCGAAGCCGTGCGAACAGGGTCTGGGGTATACGGTGTCGCATCGAACCTGCGAACCAGCAGTATAGGCTTGACGTGAATCTCCTTCGGGGCACGCCGACGAGCGCGTCGTATGATCTCCCTTGAACGTATCGATATCGTCGGTTTTACTGGCTTGTACGAGTCGACGACGCGAGCAGACGGTGCTTTGCTGGGAGGGAGGGAAATGAAGTTGTAGGCCGTGGTGTTGGAGGCGCGCTTGCGACGGGGCGCTCGGCTTGTTGTTTGTGCGGCTGTGGGGGTTACTTCTCTAGATGATGGTTGAGAGGTAGTTTCACTGGGAGTAGATTTGTTTGGAGTCTCACCTTGGGGTTGAGATACAGGCTCAGAACCCGTCGAGGACTCAGGAGTCGTGGTAGGCTCTTGCGCTTTTGGCGTCTTCTTGGCGGTAGCATTGAGTGCTGTAATGTCTGGCCTCCTAGAGCCGGGTCCCAGCGGTTTCGGCTTAGTATTCTTTACTGTGGTGTAAACAGTGCCCTTGACAGCAACACCTCCAGTCGGCCCCTCAATCCATACATCGTATATACTGCCATATTGCAATTTCTTCTTCTCCAAGCCGCATATGCGCATCTCCTCGTCGCAGTACAGCGGCGCTAGATTGCGATATTCGATCGACTCCAGATCATGCTTTCCCCCGGTTTGTGCATACACATGATGGCTTATGGTTTTCAACATGAGGAGCAGGGAAAGAGGACCGTGAACTAGCAGGTTGCGGTGGCCTTCGACGTTACGGGCGTACTCGGGATCGAGGTGTATGCGATGGGCGTTGAAGGTAAGAGCAGAGAAGCGGAAAAGAAGGGCGCGATCGGGTGTGAGGGCGTGGGAGAAGTCTGGCTTCCCAGGCGCTACATAGAGTCAGTAGATAGTCGGGAGGGTTGTCAGAGTACGCACGCTGCAGATACTTCACGGTGGCCATCTGCCCGGCCTTGACTGCCTCCAATTCGGCAGCGGGGCGCTCCTTGAAAAAGACGAGGTTACGCTCCTCCTTCACGATGGCGTCGCCCCAATCGTCGCCGTCTCGCAACTGCTGCTCGAGATAAGTCTTTAGTTTTTTACCTCCATTCTTTCCCAGTTTGCCATGCTTCGCGTTGTACGCTCTCCCTACGATGTCCACCCGTGCAAAACGCCGCTCGATCGTGACAAAGATCTTGGCAGTGTCGCCTTCTCCGTGCAGTCGGACATGCTTTATGTGCTCCGTCCCAGACATTGGAAAGTCGACTCTAAAGCCGCGGTTACGGTCGTAATACTCGTCGGGTCGTATTTGTATCGAGCCGCCAGCCCACATGCGCCGAACCCACGGCCCGCCCGGGCTCTGCGACGCGTCTGTTCCATCTGGGAGTAATTCGTTTGTCAGGACCGCGGGATTGAACCATATCAAGTGATGGCCAAACGGCACCATGCGACTACGCACACCGGGGGCATAGCACCATTCTTGAGGTAGGAAACCCGTGATGCTTTGCGATAGCTTGAATTCGTGCGGAGTGGCGATGAACTCAGGAAGGTGTATGACATCTCGCTGCAACATTTCGGTGCGCAGCTCTTGGAACCATGGCGGATCCACCGAATTGGCTGAAGAATAGCATCGCAGCGGTATTCTTCGCCATTGCGTGCGATTCGCGTTGTCCCAAGCAATCCGACGTGCGCGCGGGGTCCGGAGCAGCATTGGGAAGAAGGTCTGCGGACATCGCAAGACCCGCCGCAGATGCTATCTTTGAAGTCTTGGCGATTTAATGACGTAGGCGACTTGACCGTTTGAATGCCCATCACTTGTACGTAGCTTGACACTTCACCTATTACAACCATTGCTAACCTCCGACATGCGCCAGTCTTCATATACTACGCGCTTGCAAAGCTGTGAAGATGCAACAGCCATGCCAATCCAACCGCCAATGTCATGCCCGGCTGACCGCCTCGCTGCGACCCACTTGTTAGCAACACCCATCATCTTCACACCATAGACGTAGCTTGCATTGAACTCGCATCCTAAGTTCAAGCTTGCAACTGATATCGCGTCACGCGTCTTGGCGTGTTTGTTTGTGTTCCTCATTCGGCTACCCACGAGCGTCGCACCTTCTTCACGTCCACCCCGGCTTCATCTTCACCGCCAACGCCATCGTTTCCTTGCAAACAACGCCTTTACCTCATAAGCGAGTCTCCAGTATGTGTGCAGTCTACCAAACTCGTGGGTTGCTGTTTCGTCTGCGTCTGAACCGCGTTCGTCATGCTAAGCCACGGAAGCCCACAGCGACTGCCACAACATAGTCAGCCGTATACGCACGAGGTGACGGTTTCCATACACGTGAACAACGTGTCACCCCAAATTGTCACTCACCGTACATCCCTGGGACAGGAAAGTGCTGGACGCCTTCACACGCAGGATATCACCTGCACAGCGATGACGAGCAAGATGGAGCTTCTGGAGTGTCCCATGTGTGACTTCACCGTGCTTCAGAAAGATGACTACATTCTGCAACTACACTTTGAGCAAGTGCATACCGAGAACTCTCCTTTCGTGATAGAAGACGACCCAGAACCGTTACCCCCTTCGTTGCCCCTCAGGCCTTCCTCACTCCGCCACGACACTGAGGACACGCCTTCCTCCGACGACTCAGAAGAGGAGGAAAGCACTACAGTGTGCCCTGACCCCAACTGCGGCGAAGTCGTTCCTCTCTCCGACTTCAACGACCATCTCGAATACCACAACGCAGAAACTTTATCATTTGACGAGACTACAGGAAAGTATCATTCTCATCATTCATCCGCTACTATGCAAGGCTCGACCTCATCACGTCGTTCCCATGCAAGTCAGGCAAGGACCACAACATCCGAGCGAAGTTTCAGCACAGACTTGTCAGATGCTTTGAAGAGGACTGATGGTCACGGCCGCAAATCGAAGAAGCACCCACATCGGCATCGGCGCGACACCGATGAGAGCGAGAAGAGTACCATCGGAAGGAGTATTCTAGGCTTTAATCCTTTTGCGAAACCCGATAAGTCCGTCAAGCCACCGATCAAAAGTGCTCGGCTAGGTGTAAGTCAATCTTCCTTTTGGCAGGGCGTAGCTAATCTCCGCAGAAATCCGAACTGGGACCCTACGCTTGGGAAAATCGAATGCCTAGGTGGCTGCACGATCAGCTGGATGCCGGCCCCAAGATCACTGCCGTCAACCGCATCGGCCGAGATGGTCGCCTCATCAAGCATGATCAGGTGCAGAACGAGACGCCAGGCATCATTCCCATCCTCGCCCAACTATCTGCTCTTGATCGGACCGTGAAGGAAGCATATTACTGTCATCCATCGACACTCCACGTCGGTAAAACCCCAAGCGAAGGCGGCTTTTGCGGTTACCGGAACATACAAATGCTGCTGTCCTACATCCAAGGCGCCAAGGCTCAAGGCTACGAAGAATTCCCAGGACGGCTGCCGACTATTCTGAAGATGCAAGATCACATTGAAGATGCTTGGGATAAAGGCATCAACTCAATCGGCCGTGTCCAAACTGGTGGTATACGTGATACCAGAAAGTACATCGGCACACCAGAGGTAACATCTTACTCACCTTCAACTGTTCTCTGCTAATATGTAGCAGGCTCAAGCCTTTTTCCTCAACTCAGAAATCAACTGCGCTGTCGAGCAGTTCAGCGACAATAAAGGTCGCGCCATTGCGGCCCATGAGCTTCTCCTCGCTGCCATGGAACGATATTTTGCGCGAGCGGCTGCCAGCGACGGATCCAATGTCTCCAAGACTCTTCTACCGCCTATCTACCTTCAGCAACCAGGACACTCGATCAGCATTGTCGGTTTTGAGCGCCGCTTTGACGGCTCATGCAATCTGGTCGTCTTCGATCCCATGTATCTCACGAGTCCTGCGATGCATAAGCTGCTTGGTCGGAAAAGCATCAGGACAGCTCGACCCGAGGTTCTGTACGCATATCGTCGCGGAGCTGGGAAGCTTAAGAAATACGCTGCTTACGAGATTCTGATGTATGTTATTAGTCGATAAGCGTTTGTCGCATGCTAACTTTGCTCAGGCTCACTGCATCACCGCCTTTGTTTCCCGCTTGGGATGTATGAGCATCCATCCTCAAGCCTGACTCTTGCATATAATAGCACAGTCCGTTTCTATGACATCTACTGAACGTTGCTCTTCTAGGTACTTCGTCAATTCCCCGAGTGCCGCTTCGTGTACGTCTTCTTCCGTGCACGCACCCTCGGATACGACGTGTATCCAGAAGACTATTTCCTACGAAACTTTC